AATAATAATAATAATAATAATAATAATAATAATAATAATAATAATAATAATAATAATAATAATAATAATAATATTGTTTAAGCCACAGGGTGTCCACTGGGTGGTCAGAGAAGATCAGGATGGCCATGCTTCTCTGAACTCATGCCTACTTTTACCTCTATCACGACACCCCTGGAAAAGGCAAGGGACTTCTTGTTTCCCTTCTTTTTAACACTCAGTTCCCACATTCACATTTCAGTGTTCAGTTTCCTAACACGAAGTGGGTTCTTAACACAAAGAATTTGCACAAGAGAAGGGCGCTTTCAAGAGAATCTCTTTTTCTTAGGAGAAGCAGTACCAATACCTGCAGCAAACCGTGCCTGACCAATGCCAAGTCAGCCAGCCAGTGGAACGAATCCAGGTGGTTCAGCAATGCCAACACACAACCAATGCCTGTGACTCTACTCCTGTCCATATCAATGATGTCGGAAAGAGCAGCATTAATAAAGTGATCATAAAGACATCTGAACCGGTAAGCCTTTAACCGATCAATACGTTTTTGCCAACCTCAACCACTTTAAGACGGGTGGACTTCAACTCCCAGCATGGCCCAGCCAACCAGGCTGGCTGGGCCATCCTGGGAGTTGAAGTCCACCCGTCTTAAAAGTGGTTGAGGTTGACAAATACTGTCTTAAGTGGACATTTTCTGCTCCAAGATGGGATGTGGTGGCTCAGTGGCTAAGACGCTGAGTTTGTCGATCAGAAAGGTCAGCAGTTTGGCAGTTCGAATCCCCAACTGAGTGAGCTCCCGTTACTTGCCTCAGCTTCTGCCAACCTAGCAGTTTGAAAGCATGTGAAAATGCAAGTAGAAAAATAGGGACCCCTTTGGTGGGAAGGGAACAGCGTTCCGTGCGCCTTTGGCGTTTAGTCATGCCGGCCACATGACTTCTTTGGACAGTGCTGGCTCTTCAGCTTTGTAACAGAGGTGAGCACCACCCCCTAGAGACGGAAATGACTAGCACGTAGGTGCAAGGGGAACCTTTACCTTTTCCTTTCTGCTCCAAAAGGATTCCGCTGTCTAGTCTCATGCGTTGGAAGAGTCCTCTCAGCCACTCTTTGCAGATCGAGTGGCTGTCAGGTGACAGCACAATCAGATCCAATCTAATTTCTGAAAACCATTTTGCTCAAGTTGCAAAAGCGGCCAACACCCAGCCTAGCGGGGAAAGGATGCGCTTGCTCTCAAGTTTCTGTGCTGAAATTATCAGGGAGTTGAATCAGAAAAGTGTGCCCCTGTTTGCCTCTAGCGAGAGGCAGGCACTTGGGCAGAAGCCTCCACAAGACAATTCATGACTCAGGTGAGCCGCAAGTTATGAAACAAAACGAACGTAGGTGGAGCGCTTGGGGGAAAAAAAGGAGCAGGTTGAATTCTAATGAGGCAAAACAGCAGCCGCATCTGCTTTGAGGTGCCTGGAGAGGCTGAAGACGCATCGTGGGAAAACCAAGAAAGCTGGGAGGGGGGTTTTCCCCCAAACTCTCCTCCTTCTTTAAAAGAGTGAAGAAGAAATCTAAGAGAAATGTAGAAAGAAGAAACAATATAAATTGCTTTGTGCTGTTTAACTGCCGCAGTAAGCTTTTTAACTGTATATTCTGCTGTGAACACGATGCAGTGGCCTAGAGGTGGAGTTCTCGCCTCACGAGCTGTGGGGCTGTGAGCTCGATCCTAGGTAGAGCACAATGAGAATATATCTGCTGAACAAAACTCCGCATTGGTGACAGGAAGGGCACCCGGACAGTAAACACTCAGCTCCGTTCAGTTGCCAAGACTTTACCCCACAAGGAGTTATGGGGTCATTAAAATAAGATGTTGAATATACTGTGAACATACCAGACAAGACAAGACTTTATCTCACAAAGCACCTGAGTTTTTAAAGTATTTGCCTTTTATTTTTATATGTTCCGCCCCCCCTTGAAATTTAAACTACTTTATTGAAAAGTTGGGCTTGTTGTGCACTGTAAGCCATCAATCATGATTTGAAGGATCCTTGGTATTCTCTGAACTTGCTTGTTTTCTTGCAGACATTTCATTACCCAAACTAGGTAGCCTCATAATTGCTCTGCATCAACACTGCTGTCAGCAGTGATGATGTTACCTAGTTGGGTAATAAAATGTTTTCAGGAAAATGTGCAAGCTCAGAGAGCACCAAGGACCCCTCAGGTCAACCCTGAAGCTACAAATATTCTTTTATTAGTAATCACGGTGTATCAACCTCTCTGAGTGCCTTTGCACTACACATTGACGCCAAAGCAGGAAAAGCAAGTTATGAAGGAAGGCAAATATGTACGTGTCCCAACATAACGTCGCAGGATCCAATCTGGGTCAGTCACTGGGACCAAAGGTTTATCCTTCTGAGCTTTTGGACTCGTGTCGGAGCCCATCCTCAGGGAACTTGTCTCTCTTGACACATTCTGGCGAGAGAGAAGTTCCATGAGGATGGGCTCCTGTCATGCCCCTGTCAGAGTCTGAATCCGAGGAGGAAGATGAACAGCTGACAGAGAGTGGGATTGTGGCTATGTTGGCTGTGGAGGAAACTGGGAAAGGGCAAAGTCTGGCTGGGCAGAGCAGGCGAAAGGTAGAACAAGGGAGGGGGAATTCAGAGGAAGATCCAGGCCCACTCCCTCTTCATCCTAGGGCATGCAGGGAGGAATGGAGAAAAGAGCAACATGGATTGCATGGTTTATGGGGGAGGAAAGGGCCCTGATTCCCTTCATTAGCCACACCTGGGAATGAGAGTTTAAAAGAGATGCATGCCCACTGCAGCAGCTGCTGGGAGCAAATGTGACTTTATCCTGTGTTGTCATTGCTTATTTGTGTTCCTGGCATCTTCCCAAATGTGAGTTTTGCCGTGCCTTCAAGTCTGGAATTCTTGCTCATGCCCTGCCAGACTAATTACCTCAGTTGGGCTTGATTGGACTTAACATTACAGTTTGTGTTGACCATGTTTTGGACTTAATTCTCTGCAGTCAAAGGTTGTTCTTGGGAGAGTTTTTCTCCAGCCAGAAGGTAACCAGGACATTGGGGGCAAAGTTGGAGCTACTAAGGGGACTCTTATTGATTATCTGACTGTGTTGCCTTTGTGCCACGCCCCTTTGGGTCATCCCAGTTCCAGCACGAGTCCGAAAGCTTGGAAGATTAAGCCTCCGGTCCCGGGGACTGACCCAGATTGGATCTGGCAAACCAAGTTCCAGCTTGGCTTGTTGGTGGCAAGAAGAAATTCCCCAACATGGAACTTGGTTTGTAGGAATTCCTCACCGCAGGAGGACATTCCGCAGTTTATTATTGATGCCTTGTGTGTAGAAAACAAGGGCATTGAAGAAGTGGTGAATCAAGCTGGAAATATTTGATAGGCACCCCAAGGGGAGATGGGAGTGTGGAAAAGTAGGTCAGTGCAGGGTGTGCAATCAAGAATGGGAGCAGAGCTTTAAAACAGGAAATTTGCATGCCGAGGGTCGAACCATTGCCTCTCTAATGATGTCCTTATGACTTCCCTGACAGGTGAAGTGCACCCAGGAGACAAATGACCAGCTGGACTGCCGCTACTTTGGAGAACTCCTAGCAGAACTGCACCGCAAGAGCAACGACCTGCACAGCTGTTTGCTCCAGCATGTTGAGAAGCTGGGCGGAAGGTAGAAGTCGGGCCTCATCCTAGCTTGGAATTTGGAGAATGTTTGGCAGCCGTTCTTGGAAAGGAAGCAGAGCTGCTTGCCTGAACAGCAGGCTGTGGTTCTGTTGGTCTGCAGCCATCCTAAGAAATGGGGGTTGATTTAAGCTTCCTTGAACCCCGTTCAAAAAAATCGCCTTAAATCCCTCACCTTAAACATCCTTGCTCATTTCTGTGGATAGACACGTAATCCCAGTCCTCGTATTATGTATGAGTGTTGTCACAACATTCTTAGTTTTTAGTTACAGATGGTCCTCAGTTAATAGCAATAGCACATAGACTTACATACCGCTTTACAGTGCTTTACAGTCCTCTCTAAGTGGGTTTTTACAGAGTCAGCATATTGCTCCCAACACTCTGGGTCCTCATTTTATCATCCTCGGAGGGATGGAAGGCTGAGTCAAACTTGAGCCGGTCAGGATCGAACTCCTGGTAGTTGGCAGAATTAGCCCGCAGCACTGCATTCTAACAACTGGGAGGGAAGGAAGGAAGGAAGGAAGGAAGAAAGGAAGGAAGGAAGGAAGGAAGGAAGGAAGGAAGGAAGGAAGGAAGGAAGGAAGGAAG